CCTCCAGAAGGGCAGAGAGTGGAGACCAATCACCAACTTGCTGTGATGAGGAAACTTTAAATATGCCTGGGGCCATCCATTCTGTCTCACCGCTTTCAAAGAGGGCCACCTTCACACACTGCAACTCACCGGTGACAAGGAGGTCTTCTTGAGCAGCCTGGGAATCCAGATTCTGAACACGTCTGCATTGCCCACTCTTTCCAGGGAAGGGTGCACCACGGAGATGCATCCCGATGGGAGCAGCCATCATGTTGAGGGTCTCCCCACAGCTAATTATCCAGAAGACCATGCTCGTCCCTGACTATAGAGGTCTGCTCCTGGGGCTAGGATGGAATGAAAGAGAGAGGCCATCCTGCTGTCTTGGAGGTGATCGAACAGCCGAGTCAGGACTTCCAACTACCTCCTTAATGACAGACAGAAGCCCTTTCTATTTATATGTATAATTATGTTTTAAAATGTGTTTATACTACACAAGTCCAGCCGAGCTCCACCCATGATAGCTGCCCACATAAATATGTACATGAACGTAGCAAAGACGTGGGGCATAGTGCTAAAGCGGAGCGGACAACCACATAACATTGTCGATAATTTAGGAGGCTGCAGATCTCCCCGACACACAAGGGAAGAGAACATCGCCCCTGAACTTACACACCCTTTGACGGTACTGAGACTTACCCATACAGGCGCTGCACCTACACTAGACGCTCCACCACGCAGCTACAGTATCCGAAGATTCCCTCACACACTGACAATAATGCAATACCGGGATGAATGGCGGCAATGAAAGTACGTGACCGATGCCCCCCTTACATACACATTCCCTCCACCCAGAACGGACCCTCCAACGACCAGATACACCCCCATGACCACTCTGAGAGCAGAGCCCCAACCCGCATTCTTAAACAGTTAAGGTTTCAGTTAAGTTCAATAATACAGTTCTGGTTGCACACAAATGTAGGTTAGCAGCTTCCACGAGTGACACCTACTAGTTGATTAATACCCGGACACCTCTTGCACACACTCAGTGTTGGAGAGATACCGTGGCACACCCTTAAAAAGAAACAGAAAGCATGAAAACTAACTGACCAGCTGGCCACCCGAGAAAAATTACAGGAATTACGGAATTACCCGATTATACCTGGGATTAACTAAGACCAGGTCTCTCTTCCCTTCTTTCTTTTACTCTCGATTTCCCTTTCCCCTTGGCTGTCCACTGGTGGGGGTCTCAGGTGGACACAATGTCCCTACATTTTATATCCCTTAATACAAAGGGTTTGAAAGCCCCTAAAAAATGAAGGCTTATGTTCCGCGAAATTAAACGCCTGAACGCAGATGTTGCTTTCCTACAGGAGACAAATTTGCCCCGTGGTACTCAGGCAGCCCTAATAGACCACAACTATCGCACCGTTTACGAGGCAAGAGCGTTCCAAAAAAGTAACAGAGTAGCCATAGCAATAAACAACAGATGCCCACTTCAAGTCACAAGGGCAGTCTCAGACCGGGAGGGCAGATCCCTCATTCTCTCAGGCACCTTATACTCCAACACTATACACCTTGTGAATGTGTATACCCATAATGACCCAGCACCAACATTTTGGGACACCCTGGCAACCCAACTAGCTAACCTTCCTCATGGGATCATAATAGTTGGAGGTGATCTAAATGCAGCCCCATGCCCAGTGATAGACAGGAGCTCTGGTTATGATCAACTCCACTCTCAGGGATGGGAGACGCACGACAAACTTCTCCACCATTTCACACAGCAAACAAGACTCACTATGGAGGGCACAAAAGACTACACATTCCACTCCGCCCCCATAACACATATTCAGGGATTGACATGTGCCCAGGGCAACCCACTCACACATCGGCACTATAGCATGGTCAGACCATGCATATATAGCGCTAACACTCACAAACCTTTGTGCTGCCATCCCTTGGAATTGGAGGCTTAATGCAGTACTCCTTAGTGACCCGACAGCTGAAAGCTTACTTTGCCCTGAACACCACAAACAACTTCCCCCCAGCTACCATCTGGGCAGCCCATACGCCTGTAATCAGAGGGACCTTAGAGCCACCCATAAAAAGAAACAGAAAGTACGAAAACTAACTGACCAGCTGGCCACTCTATGCAGAGTGGAACAACAATACAAACAAAAACCTACCCGAGAAAAATTACAGGAATTACGGGGATGTCGTTAGAGGTCAAGGAAACACTCTTAGAGGACACAGCTAGGTCACTTAACAGGACAAGGAGAACATACTACGACAGGGCAAACAAAATGGACTTCCTGCTGACTGGGACGTTGAGACCCAAACAGAGACATGCGCATATAACTAAAATCAACTAACGTAACACTGGAATTCACTGAGTACTTCCAGGCCCTCACAATCACTCCCCTACACTGAGGGGACAGGAACTAGAGGACAAAGAAGACATCTGCACATACCTACACCAATTAGATCTACCGAAGCTGACAGGGGAAACCTCCCAACCACTAGGAAGCCAAATCATAGCAGATGAAATTGACATCGCAATATCGGTCTTAAAAAGCAACGACCAGATGGCTTTGACGGAAACTACCTTAAAACATTTAGGGAAGACCTGGTCCCTCACCTGGAGACATGGTTCAATGATCTCATGAACGGCGGCCCCACAGACAGAGACATGTCCCTAGCAAGCATTGTCCTAATCCCAAAACCCAGAAAATACATCACCAGACCAGAAAATATAGGCCAATATCCCTGATTAATCATGACATTAAGCTCTTAGCAAAGATATTAACGACTAGACTGAACCTCTTGTTACAATGACTGGTCCATGCGGACCAAGTGGGTTTAATTTCGGACAGACAACTGTTCAAAAACACACGACGCAACATTGACATTATCTGGAGGCAGACAAAAACCGGGGAGCCATCCCTGATCCTGTCACTGGATGCTGAAAAAGCATTTGACAGGCTCAGATGGCCATTCCTGTTCACACTGCTTGCACATATGGGCTTCCCAGCACCATCAAAGCAACGTACACAGATGTCAGGGCACAGATTCGGATTACCGGAGCACCGAACAGTCCCTATAGCCTGGGAAATGAGACCAGACAGGGCTGCCCGCTCTCCCCGATCATGTTTGTCCTGGCCCTTGAACCACTCCTTCGTAGCATCAGGAACCATCTTAACATTCACGGAGTGACAGTAGGTGGGGAACAATTCAAAGTGGCGGGTTACGCAGATGACATCATTCTCACACTGACTCCCCCAGAAGAATCAATGCAGGCCCTGGCACAGGTGTTAGGAGAGTACGGTAGCTTATCGGGCTATAAAGTTAACCTGGGAAAGTCTAGTGTTCTACCTATCAACATGACAGACATAGACGCCACATTTATAACCACAACGCACAGTATACAATTGAACCACACAGCTACTAAATACCTAGGAGTCTGACTGACTGCCTCTCCCAACCAACTGTACACACAGAACTATATCCCACTCTTCAAGTAACTGATTAGACCTAAATAAGTGTGTAGAGAAACCTATATCATGGATAGGTAGGGTCCACTCCCTCAAAATGAATATTATCCCTAGAATCCTTTTTCTGTTCCAAGTCCTGCCCATCCCTATCACCAAAACCGACCTGGGACCGCTCCAACAGGCAATAGGACATTTTATATGGAACAACAGACAATCCCGAAACATTCTGTATCACCCAAAGAGTGCAGGAGGACTAGGACTGCCCAACCTCTTTTATCATTATCTGGCAGCCCAACTGATATAGGTTGCACTATGGTACTTCCCCTCCACCCCCCCGACAAAAGGAGATGGAAGATTTCTTTCGGTATCTACAACTTAAAGATGTTATCAGCCAACCCCACATAAAAGAATTGACAACCAGAAATGTTACCCTACTAGAAAATATGTGCCTGAAGGAAGCAATACACAGGGGAATGATCTCATCCATCTACACC